GGCTTACTGGGAAGCCCTCAGGGCAGCTTCTGACCCAGATGGCCCTTGGCCCTGTACCCGTCCTCAGCATGGCTGAAGAGCTGAAGGAGAGAGGTTTCCATCCCCAGCTGCCTTCTCTGCAGGGCTGGGCCAGGCCTGTGGCCCTGAGGGCAGAGGAGCTGGCCAGCCACATTCAGGGAGGCCAAGCCTGACATGTCCCCTAGGAAGGACTTCTCACGGACTGCCTCTTTTCTGCCTTCTGCCCCCACCGCTGCCCCCACCTTCCCCACTCCCCCACTTCCCCTCCCCCAACCAGCACCAGGCAGTGTGTCCTTCAAGGAAGGCCAGTGTGATCCCCCGCCATCTGTGCAGCCTATGTCCTGCCCAGGCTTCTCCCAGTGGCCTTCAGCACAATGACACACAGGCCAGGGAGGCAGGACAGGGTGCTGGGGCCCCTGTGGCCTGAGGGCATGTGATCCTTCGGAAAACCTGGCAGCAAGGAGCAGCTGGGTTAGAGTGAGGGCGGTGCTGGGGAGGGAAGCTCCATGTGGGGAAGGGCATAACCCGAGCTCACACAGGCTCCCAAGGGTGGCCCCCCACCCTTGGGGCCCACTGCAGGCGGCAAGGACAAGCTGGACTGGCCCAGAGCCCAGCAGCCCTAGCCTTTGCTTCAGCCAGGAGGCCCAAACATCCAGCCCCAACAATAGGCCACATCTGAGGTCAAAGCTTGGGTCCAGCAGCCCTCATAAGGGCTCCCTGGGAAGAGCAGTGGGCAAAAAGGGACGGGGGCAGGAGGGGAGGCCAGGGGTCCTCTGGGCAGCAGGGAGCCGGGGGAGCTGAAGAAGGCAGAACGCCAGATGGTGAGGGCCGGCAGCTGAAGTCCTTGGCACCTGCCCAGGGGTGGGCTGGTCTGCCCCAGAGGGGCCTTCCTGGCCCCACTTGACCTGAGGACAGCTGGCAGGGCTCCCATGCTTACGTGGCATCCATGGGGCCTGGGCAGGGACCCGAGAGGTCAGGTCTGGACGTGCCCCCAGCTCAGCTGCAGGGGCCTGGGGCCAGTTGGAGTTGGACAGGAGCCCTCGCCAGCCCGGCACAGGCTGTGGCTCCTGGTGAGGTCAGCATCCCACCATCCGGTCCTGCCTACCTTCCCCTGGACCGACACTGTCTTCGTTTGTGAAGCCCTCACAGAGGCCATGTTTTCGGTGGCAGGGGAGGGAGACAGGGCCTGGAGCAGGACAGCTGGATGGAAGGGGCCTCCCCCAGCATGCAGGGTCCTCACAGACCCCAATCATCCTAATAAAAAAGTACTTTTTTCCCTCTTGAAAAAGGTTCTAGTTATGATACTAAGATTTTATGTAAAAAGTGAACAAAGCTCAGGTTTTCAGTCATCCTCAGTCGGTTTTCCACATCTAAAACCCATACCCTGACCCACCCAGACTTGAAGACAGGTTCCTTCAAGGCTCTAGCTCGGGTTCTGCCAAGGGAGGAGGCAACCACTGCCACCCCAGAAAAGGCTCTGGCTGGAGTCTGCCACTCAGTTTGTTTGGGACTGTTCAGCCTGTTCCCAGATCCAGTGGTGGCCCCCCAAAAATACATCCACCTGGAACATCAGAATGCAACCGTATTTGGAATGAATTTTTGCAAATATAATCAAGGCAAGGATTTTGAGATGAAATCATCTGGGGCCAGGCGTGGTGGCTCACGCCTGTAATCCCAGCACTTTGGGAGGCTGAGGTGGGCGGATCACCTGAGGTTAGGAGTTCGAGACCAGCCTGGCCAACACGGCGAAACCCGGTCTCTACTGAAAATACAAAAATTAGCTGGGCGTGGTGGCGGGCACCTGTAATCTCAGCTACTTGGGAGGCTGTGGCAGGAGAATTGCTTGAACCTGGGAGGCAGAGGTTGCAGTGAGCCGAAATTGTGCCACTGCACTCCAGCCTGGGCAGCAGAGCGAGACTGTGTCTCAAAAAAAAAAAAAAAATCATCTGGGATGAGGGTGGGCCCTAAATCCAATCACAGGTGCCCTTGCAAGACAAAGGAGAGGGAGATTTGGGCACAGACACAGAGAGGACAAGGCTGCATAAAGACTGGAAGATTGCAGTGACGTGGTCCTGAGCCCAGGATCACCTGGGGCCACCAGATGCTAGAAGAGACAGGAAGGACTTTCTTGCAGGGCCTTTGGAGGGAGCTGACACCTGTGTCTTGCGCTTCTGGTCTCCAGAACTATGAGGAAATAAGTCACCAAGCTCTGGGGTAATTTTCTACGGCAACCACCAAAACTCAGACACCAAGGAAAGTGTTGGGGGGTATGGAGACGGAAGGGGGCTGCAGAGGGCTTAGGAAGGACGCTCAGGACCCCAGGGTGGGGTCCAGAGAATGGGGCACATGGCACTGGACCCCAGGAGAGGAGCTGGACCCTGCTGTTGGACCTGAATGCCGTGGGCCTGGATTCCCAGGATAGCCTCTGAGGGTGTGAGGACAGGTGCGGGTGGGGCTGTGAGCCCTCCAGGCCCTCTGTGGCAGGGGAGGCTGAGGAGCTAAGGCGCAACAGGATTTGCCCCTCCTTAGGCATCCCCGAGCACCTCCTGTAAGCCAGACCCCAAGACGGATGGGTCAGGCAGACTCCTGGAGCAGGAGGTGCAGCAAGGGGTCCTATCCTTCCCAGGAGGACGTGTTCAGGGACTGGGCGTGAGCATCAAGGCCAAGGCCAGCAGGTGCTGCTGTGTGGGCAGGACCAGGACTCCATGTCCCTCCCAGCGTGGAATCCAGAGCCCGGGGTGCTCGCGGCACTGGTATTTTATCACGTAGATAAACACACACTGGGAAGGGTGGCCTGTGTCACAGTCCCTTCCACCCAGTGAAAGCTAGGTTCTTCAAGAGGGGCTTTGGGAAGCCAAATTCAGTCTCAGGAGAGGCTGAGTGATAACCCAGCTTCTACAGATTTGACCTCGGCTACCCAAGGGGGGACACTACCAGGAGTGGCAGGGACTGGGGGATCCTTCCAGGGAGCCATGTTTGGCATCCCGTGGGGATCCCAGACCCCTGCCAGCCACTGACACGCATCCACGACTTCCCAGAGAGTGTGTGCTCACATGTGGCCGCTGCAGCACACGCCTCCACTCAGACATCCAGTCTGGCTGCTGCCCTACCAGGCTCTGAGCTTGGGGGGTGCCGAGGGCAGGTGTGGCCTACCCAGCATGCATCCCCAAGTCATGAGCGTGCAAGCCAGCACCAGCCTGAGGTCAGGCAACACTAAACCTGCCATGCGCTGGGCGTTGTGGGCAGCTCCTGAACACTGCTCCATTCAAGGGGAGAAGCAGGGAGGCCCAGAGAGACTGATCTCGGGCTCCTCCTTCCTGTGTCTAGGGAAGCACAGGTGAAACCTGGGTGAGGAGAGGTGCCTGGACCCCAGGAGAACCCCTGGTCATCACAGGCCCCTCCTCCTGGGGCTCCCCTCGAGGTGGGGATTGGGGGCAGGGTGCACGTTGAAGGAGGCACAGGGAAAGTCCTCAGCCCACAAAAGAGAGATGGAGGCAGCCAGTCAGGCGAGGAAAGCATGGGCTTGGGCTGAAGAGCCTGCTGCAGATTCTGCCCAGTCACCACCACGGCAGACACCAACATCCCCTGGCAGGGCTGTCCCTGACCCCTGGCTCCCTGAGCGCCCCATGGCCCACGTTCCCAGTCCCAGACTGGCAGACTGTAAGCCACTCTCCTGCCCTGAGCCACGTGACTGGCCCTCCCTGGTTTGCCCCTTCCAACGTCCTCGCCCTAGCCAGAACGATGTCGGATATGGGGTTCCCATTGCCGAAAAATGGCCCAGCAAAGGCGCTAAGACAGTCCTGACTGCAGAGTCAGGCGCTGGGCACTTTCTGGAGCAGGCCCGGCTCTGAGGCTGGGACCCCAACCCTCGGGCGCACACAAATCGCGGCCTGTGACTTGATTTCGGGGGTCACCGACAAACCCTTCACACTATCCGTGAGCCCCGAGCTGGTGCTGTTACCCCAGTGTCACAGAGAAACCCTGGGGCATCATTGGTACCCCTCCCGCAGGCCCCCCAGTTCCTGCAGGCTGGGACTGCCCGCCCCGCCCTCTGCAGCTCCTGCCACCCCCGCCCCGCTCTGGCCCCGCCCCAACCCGCCCCTCCACACTCAAGTCCCACCCTACCCCTCCCTAGCCCCGCCTCCTCTCTCGGACCCGCCCCGGTGTGGCCCCGCCCCTCCGGCAACCCCGCCCAAAACTCTTCCCAACGGGGGCCCCAGCCCTGGCTCGCCCTCTCCCCGCCCCGCCCTCTCCCCAGCCCCGCCCCGACAGGGCCCCGCTCCCATCGACTCACGAAGGCTAACGGTTTCCATGGCTCAGGCCCGAATCGAGACTGTCCTCCAGCCCGCGTACCTCACGCCCGCTCCTTCCCCTCGGGCGCTGGGGGGCACCGCGAGACTCCCACCGTCGCAGCCTCGCCAGCTGGGTCTTCCTAGACAACCACCAGCTCTCTTGCGCGGAGCCCGGTTCCAGGGGCGGCGCATGCGCGGAGGGCTTCCCGCGTCACAGTCTCTTGGGTGCACGGGCGGCACCTACAACAGACGGCGCCGCTGGTGTAGTGGTATCATGCAAGATTCCCATTCTTGCGACCCGGGTTCGATTCCCGGGCGGCGCAGCTTGTTTTGTTTTCTCCCATTTGAACAATGAAATCTAGCTAACGCCAGAGATTTATAAAGGAAAGAAAACCGGAAACCAAGGGAAGGCGTCCAGTCTGGCGCAGCGCTGACACATTTCGGAGAGTGACAGGTACCCTGGACGGCCATGGCCGACAGGGTCCCTGAGCTGAGGCGCCTGTAAACCAGCAAGCCAAGCTCGCCGTCCAGTCCCCTGCCCGGGGCCGCCACCCACCGCCGAGCCGCTCCCCACCGTGCCTCTGGCGGCTGCGGGTCCTTTAACGAGAGGCGCGGGTGCTCCTGGGAGTTGTAGTTTATCAGCTCCCGACGCGCCCCTTGGCATCTGGACTACAGCTCCCGACATGCCCCGCGGGAGCCCGGCCACCGCCCCCGACGCCACCAGCGCCGGTTCTGCAGCTGGGAGGAGTTGCGGCCGCGATGCTGGTGGCGGCGGCCGCGGAGCGAAACAAGGAGCCCATCCTGCACGTGCTACGGCAGTACCTGGACCCGACCCAGCGCGGCGTCCGCGTACTCGAGGTGGCCTCGGGCTCCGGCCAGCACGCGGCGCACTTCGCGCGGGCCTTCCCCCTGGCCGAGTGGCAGCCGTCGGACGTGGACCAGCGCTGCCTGGACAGGTGCGGCCCCCGGGGCGGCCACTCCGATCGGTGCGGCCGGCCGCAGCCTCAAGAGCTCCTGCCCCGCAGCCCCGGAGGAAAAAGATGCGGCTCGGGCTCTGAGGGTGCGGGGTGGGAGCTGGGGGTGCCCCCGGGGCAGGCCCCAGATGTGTGGCCCCCGCGGCTGCGGAAGTGGGTGGGCCTCGGGGTCCCCTTTCCCAGCTGTTTTGGCCTTCGCTTCGCAACGTGCCCCCCAGCCTCCCCTTAGAAAGTCTGTAGGGGCGTCGGAAAGGCGGTTGCGCAGGACTCGGCCTCCACCCAAGCCTTCCCCTCCGGCAGCATCGCGGCCACCACGCAAGCCCACGGTCTGACCAACGTGAAGGCCCCGCTGCACCTGGACGTGACGTGGGGCTGGGAGCACTGGGGCGGGATCCTGCCGCAGTCGCTGGACCTGTTGCTGTGCATCAACATGACCCACATCAGTCCCCTGTGCTGCACGGAGGTCTGTGGGGGGCCCAGCAAGGGCGTCTGCCCTGGCGCCCCTCACCCTGCATGGGGGCAGCCAGCATGCCAGATTTGCCCCTACCACAGTCGGGGTGAGGGTCTCCGGCCTCAGGCCTTGGGTTCTTTTGGGGGCAGCGCCTCACTGCCGTCCTGTTCCCTACTCCCCAGGGGCTCTTCAGAGCAGCAGGACACCTGCTCAAACCCAGAGCCCTGCTCATCACCTACGGGGTGAGTGGGCCTCTCCAGGGCGGGCCTCCCGCTCGAAGTCCCAGCTGCTCTCTCCTGCCCTACTCAGAGTCCTCCCTCCTTGGCTCCCTGCCCCCCGCCCAGCCACCAGCATGGCCTCCCCTCCACTTCCACTCTGCACCCCTCCTCCCCGGGTCACCTGCCAGCCTCCCTACCCCCTTGCCCACCAGCCTGGCCTTGGCTGACTCCCTCTTGGGGACAGGGAGGGGGTGCCCGTTTCATTCTCCGGACCCCAGCCTGCAAGTCTGTCCCGGGCTCTCTGGGAAACAGCCGACCTTGGTCCAGTGGGCTGTGTCCCCGTCCCCGCAGCCCTATGCCGTCAACGGGAAGATCTCTCCCCAGAGCAACGTGGACTTCGACCTAATGCTCAGATGCAGGTCAGAGCTAGTGGCAGGGGGTCTGGCGCAGGTGGCAGGTGGCTTGGGTGGCACCCCCCCCAGGCCATGACTCCATCTCCCCCCGCTCTGCAGGAACCCGGAATGGGGCCTTCGGGACACAGCCCTCCTGGAGGACCTGGGACAGGCCAGTGGCCTGCTCCTGGAGAGGATGGTAGGTCGGGGAGCGGGGGCCCAGGCAGCCTCTCTAGGGGTTGAGGGCCGTCCTCTAGTAAAGCATTTCTCCAGGTGGACATGCCAGCCAACAACAAGTGCCTGATCTTCCGGAAGAACTGAGCCCCTCCTTCACCCCGCACACCTGCATCCCTGCCGGAGGCCCTGTGGGGCACAAACCCTGCCTCCCTAGGCTGGGCCTTGTGGGTAACAGCCCCACCCAGTCTGCGCTCTCAGCCAGTGGCTGAAAGGCTCAGCCTGCTCAGAATAAAGCATCTCCTGCTGCCGGCTTGCTGGTGTCCACCCCACCCCCTCCTAGGAGCACCTTGTGAGGGTGGGTGGGAGACGGGGTCTCCTGTGGGGTCAAGGGCTTGGGACGTCCTGGTCCTTGCTGCTGGAGCTTGGGCAACGGGAGTGGGGCCAGGACAGCTGCTGAGGCAGGATGGAGCTGGTGGGGGATGCAGGGGTGGACTGGCGCTCCCTGGTGACCTTGTACCAAAGCCCAAGCCCCAGTGGGTGGCAAGGCCCCAGCAGAAACTGGCTGGGAATGGGGCGCCTGGAAAGGTGAGGGTCGTCTGACCAGCAGCAGCAAGCCAGGGGGTCTGGGGCACAGGGAGCGCGTTTATTCAGCAGGACGGGGCGGCGGAGGCCGCCCCTGGGGGCTAGTCCTGGAAGCGGTTGAGCAGCTCGCAGGCCTGCTTCTCCAGCAGCTCCAAGATTTTCTTGACGCGCTTCTCGCTGGCGGCGCGGACGTAGCTGCTGGCGTCCAGCACGGCCACACCATCGCGCACCTCGCCCATGATGACCAGAGGCCCGTCGCCCGCCGTCATGTTGGGGCAGGGGCAGGCCCAGTCCATGCCACTCAGCGTCACCTCTAGGTACTTGGTGCCCAAGAACTTGAGGCCCATCTTGTCATCCTTGAGCACATCCTCGAGCGCCACGCGGGCGATGCCGCCGGCAGCCTCGGGCTCCTCCAGCACCTCCGTGAGCCGGCCCACGATGGCGAAGTCGCTGCGGCACAGGCTGAGCGCCAGCTTGCTCCGGAGGCGGCAGGCGCGGCAGGGCGGCGTGCGGGGCACGGGGCAGGCATCCTCGCAGCTCTCACGGCTGTGGAAGTTGTTGCCGTTGCCGTCGCAGCCACCATACACGAAGGGATGGCACTGCTGCAGCAGCGGGCTGTAGGCCCAGCGCGGCTCCCAGCCTTGGCAGGGGCCCTGCACGGCAGGCAGCACGCAGGCGTCGCCGGGGCCACGGGCACAGGCCTGCTGGCATGCCTCGTAGGTCTCGAAGCCCCGGGCCGCCCCGTCACAGCCACGGGCCGGGAAGGTCATGCAGCTGCCCCGCTGTGGGTCAAAGTGCCAGAGGACAAGGTGTGGGGAGGTGGGGCCCGTGCAGGCCTGCACATCCGGCAGGCACTCGGCGGGGGCTGGGATGCTGGGGGCTCTGTCCCTGGCCGGCTCTCGCTGGACCACAGAGAGTGGGAAGTCAGCCCGCAGCAGGCCAGCCGCATTGCGCGCGGTGCAGGTGTACAGGCCGGCGTCTTCCAGCCGCGCGTTGTAGAGCACCAGCTGCCCGATGCTGGTGACCACTACGTTGCCGTACATCTGATCAGGGCGCATGATCAGGTTCTCCCGCTGGTGACTCTGCTTCTCCCAGGTCACGGCAGGCGGCGGGCGGCCGCTGACGTCGCAGTGGAGGCTGGCCGTGCCCCCGACCTGCACCGCCTGTGGGGAGGGGCTGCTGTACAGGGCAGGAGGCATGGGCGCGGCCCCAGGTGTGGGGCGGGCAGTGGTCTCCGGCGGACCCGGGCTGCTAGGCGGCCAGCTGAGCACGTGTTTGCAGGGCACGATGTGGAGGTGCAGACCCCGAAGGCAGGCCTCGGCGTCCATGTAGCAGCGGTTGTAATAGGTGAGGCCGTCTGAGGCGCAGGTGAAGCTGGGCTCCTTCTCACAGCGGTCACGGCAGCGGCACACGGGCTGCCCATCCCAGATGTCGCAGTCAGAGCCCTGTTGTGGGCATGCAAAGCCCTCGCAGGAGGCCGCTGTTGTGGGTGCGGCTGGGCTGTCGGGGAAGCGTGCTGCCACGCAGCTCTGCAGTCCACACACGTTGGTGCAGCACTTCTCAGCAGTTGCACAGTCCTGGGGATGGGGGACACTTAGGTGGGAGTCCTGATGCCCCCCCGCCCTGGGGGCTCTGGCCAGGCCCCTGCACAGGGAGTCCCAGGTGGGGTAGCAGGGAGCCCCCTGCTCTGTGGCCGCCACCAGGGCCACCTCCCTAGGGACTCGCTGTCCTTTCCATCCCCTGTGGGGAGCCACAGAGCCAGAGGTGCCACCTGGCTTCACCTTCCAGAATCCTCACACCCCCAAGCAAGTTCCATTATTCTTGGTACATTGTACAGATGAGGAAACTGAGGCCCAAGGAGGGTGTACAGTGCTCAGGGCCACCCAGCAGGTGGTGCAGGCCAGGACAAAGGCTGAACATTGGCTGCAGCACCCCCATCACCGTCTACACTGGTCCCAGATGAAAGGAGAAGGTGGGAGGAGAGGATGGGAGGAGTGGGTGGGAGGAGAGGATGGGAGGAGAGGGTGGGAGGAGTGGGTGGGAGGAGAGGATGGGAGGAGAGGATGGGAGGAGAGGATGGGAGGAGAGGGTGGGAGGAGTGGGTGGGAGGAGAGGATGGGAGGAGAGGATGGGAGGAGTGGGTGGGAGGAGAGGATGGGAGGAGAGG